GGATGGCTGTCTCATCCACAAATGATTATTCACAACTTCTGAGTTAGTGTATTCTAAACCAATGTCCTTCCCCCCTCCCCAGAAAGTCATATTTGTTTAAAACTCTTTGTTTAAACACTTGGCTTGCAGGTGGGGAAATATTGCTCATGCTTTGTTATGAAGGCAGTGTAATTCAGCTTCTCAGGCCTCTGTGCAAAACCTTGAACTACTGCCATTTAACAGGGGGGATTTTCCATTTTACCTTTTACTGAGCATCTCTACAGTCTGAAGAGGGACCTTGTCACTGCCAAAGCGCACCTGGTAAAAGCTGATATTTTTTCCTCTGCTCTGGCTCTGGCATGGGCTAGAGCAGCTGCTAAACCTGGTTCTTCTTCACATCAGAAGTCCAAAATAAACCTCTCGAGTGATACCATATGCACCTCTTTTTCCAAATCTTGTTGGTTGTCTCCTTTGCTGTCTTTGAACCTGATTCAGATGGAGACATCTGAAGCTGGGGAAAGACTCTCCAGGAATTTCAGCAGGCTTTAGGGAGAAGTTGATATACAAGGTGCAGAGCAGTGGATAAGACACCTGAACAGATAATGGGAGATGTAAATGTTATCTTTGGTTAGGACACTTGTGTCTCTCTTTTCCTATCTATGAATAATTAGCTATGTCTTTCTCATGAAAAACCTCAAGATCTGTTGATACAAAGTACTAGAGAATGCTTGTGTGTTGTTACCATTATTGTTTTGTGAGAGATTTTAAGGAGCTCTTTGGAAGATCATCATTAACACAACAAAATATTGGGGGGAAAGTAGCCACTTCTCTCTAAACCTGAAGAAAGGGGTAAGCAAATCCCAAATCAGATCTGCTGCCACGGGTCACTGAATGGCAGAGTCTGTGCAGAGTATGGGATGCATGTGTCTGCTTGTTTAAAAAATCAAATCCACTCGTCTTCTAGGAGGTTATTTTATTCCCTGCACTCAAATGCTGTAACCATCATTTGTGCTCTACCTGGAGGAAACACATTAACTAAAAAATAAGTTTGGAAATGGAAAGAAACAACAGAGGCATAAACAATTTTTTTCTAAACAAAAGCAAAAAGTTTGCCTTAGACAACATGATGCATCACCCCGTGGCTGTTGGTAGGTGGCAGCCTCTGTCCTTGCACACAGAGGAGCTGGAAAATATTCCAGCTGCCTGCAAATGCTCTCACAGGCCTGTGTGCTCCCACCTGCTGATACCGCAGCTCAGCAGGAGGAGGAAGAATTTGCCCGTTTGTAGCAATAAGTTTCAGAAGCAATTCCAAACACAATGCAGCTTAGAGCTAATGATGAACGGGCTTGACTGCATGAATCGAGTGTTATGGCATGGATTTAGGAGATAGCTGCTGTTAGGGGATGTTTCCAGCTGATAAGTGTAGGCAAAAGCCTCGCTGCCATCTGCTTCACCAGGGGTCTTATCCTGGCGTTTCAAGCAGGCTGTGCTGAGGCCAAGTGGTTTTTCTCTGGTGGCAGGATAAAACTGGGTGTGTTGCTGCTGTGCTTCTGGCTGGAGCTGTGCGAGCCCACCCTGCTGATGACTCATGCTTCGAGTGGCTCAGAATATCACACTGCTGCCTCGCTGCCTCCCTGTTCCTGTTGCACTGATGCATTTGGGTCTCGCGCGGTGTTGGCGTTTCATTTACAAACCTCTCTTTTCCCATAAAGGAAAGATGGCTGCCAGCCCTGCTTTATCCTGATGTTCAGCACTTTTAGGTGTTTTTCTGAGCCTCTCCTGAATGACTTCAGGTGGAGATTTAAAAGCAGAACAACCAGACACATTAAGCACCTTAGAAAGCACATTTTTCAGAATTTAATTGTGTTTTTTTAGTAGCTTGTCTTTTTTTTCTTTTCCCCTTCTAAAATTGGCTGCTTCTGCATATGATTCAGACTAAATTTTCCCTTTTCTCCCAGCAAGCACTGAATCAGGATCTTTAGGCCAGCCAAAGGGACCTGTGTTCCTTCCCTGCCACCCCATCTTTGAGTCCATGCATTTCAGCACCAGAGTTTACAATAGTTAATAGAATAAGACAAGCACTGAACAGATTTACAAGTCTCCTGTTTCCTTCTACCCCACTCACAGAGAACCTGAAGGTTCCATTAAAGCAGGTGTGGACCTGCCTTGAAATTAAAGGACTGTGTTGTCACAAGAGAAAATGGATATAAATAAATCTACCTCTTCCTAATTTTTTTTTCTGTTGGTTTTGTGAACCAGATGTTCCAGGTGGCACAGAAATGAAGGTACCACCAGCTATGAAGAAGTCCTGAGGTAAGACTCCAAAAGCTGCAGTGGGTTTTGCAAAGACCAACTGATGGACTTTTAGGCAAGTAGGTCTGTGCACTGGCACTTGCTCTGGCAGCACTTGGGGGGCCACATCCATGAAGGGGGCCATCCATCTCAGGCCTGTGCTGGAAGCAGACCCTTGTCGTGTATCAGCTCAAAAAACTGCAGTAGAAAAGAGAGATGCAGTGAGGACTGATCACCTTGATTTTGTTTTTCAGAGCAGTGCTGGTGAGTGCTTAGTGAACACACCTCTTTCCGTGTCCTGGTTGCACCACATTGACTCAGATTTACTAAAAACAAGTTTTATCTGTTAAGTAACACAAGAATCACCACATTTAAGTTCTGTGGCTGCTGCTCATGCATTTCACGCAGCTCAGCTGAAATAACCCCCGTGGCAGCAGCACACACGGAGCTCAGTTGCTGCCCCTGCTTCTGCAGGGACTGTTAACTGTGCCTTTGGTTGCCAGGATGGTGGAGAGCTCTGAGGCTGTGCCGTTCATGAACACTAGGTAGCTCCGTGGGCTTCTCCAGCTCCAGAGAGAGCTGTCGTAACTCTTTCGATAAATATGTTTACCCTTCCAAGAAGTAAATATTTGAAAGCACACAGGACAACATCAGCGTGCTGGAGTCGTACTTTTGTCCCAGGGGGTGACACTGCAGCTGGCTCCACGCATCTAGAGGTACACAGAGACATCAGAGAAAAGAGGAGCAGTAGAGCCGTCAGGTGCACATGCTGAATTCCGGGTGCAGATCAGACTTGAGACCTGCAAGATCTGCCGTCTTCATTCAGGCACCTCTGAGAAAGTTACTCAGCAAACACAGTCGGTGCTCCCTGTGGAGTGTCCCATGAAGGTAAATCCCTCCCCATGAGCAGCCTCACCCAGAGATGTGGCAGACACAGTGATACCCCGTTGCTGTCAGCAGAAGCTGAACTCGCTGCTGCAGTGAGTGGTGCTCCACAAAATGGGCACTTGGACACATGCCTTCGTTTTTCCTTTGGAAAGAGGAGTTTCTTGTAGCAGTTAAAAACATTCTGCATAATAAAAATTGTATCTGTCTTCCAACATCAGCCGTGTTGTGATGTCAGTGTTGTCCTTGTGCTGACCATTAGTGGGAGGCTGGGCAGGAATGTGAAATGCACTTTCAACCTGAGCGTAATTTTCTGTGTACAGGCAAGCACCAGTGCTTGCACAGAACTGTTCAAACAACAGGCAGGGCAGATGCTCCTTAGGAGCCTCCTCTCTGAGCTAAGGCTCTGGTTTCCAGGAAGCAATTTCTCCCTCAAGAATTATTTAATCAGAGAAAAATCTTCCGGTACTTACAGACACAACTGCTGCTGTATAGAACTTGGCATTACAGAGAAAGTAACCACAACATGGCACAGCTTTGGATGCTGAACATTTTCTGAAGCAAAAGGAGAGAAATGTGGAAGATTGTACACAGCGGTGCCACCCGCTATGCACAATAACTTTCAAAGTTCAAACCTTTGGCACTTAAGCAGGTACAAAAAGCATTTATTATAGCAATTTTACCATAATGTCCAAGGTATTATTCATGAAATGCATTTCCCATTTATTTCCTATATTCAGAAAATGTGTTCTAGGCAGTCTGCAAGTTATGCTATTGCAAGTCATTTCTGCCTGGCTGTTGAAATGGATCGGTACAATAAAAAAAGAAGGAAAAAGTAGTGTCTATGCTCCACTTACAAGAAGGTGCACGTTAATTTGATTTACTTCATGTGGATTTAATCAATGCAAATACAGATGGGGGAAGAGTGTCAGTGGGAGTAATGGGTCGTTTTTATCCTCTTTCTTTGCTTGACCTGCTGAATCGATCTACCCCGTTGCTAGGAAAATCAGAATCAAGCTGACACGAGCATCTGTGCTATATAGACAGAAGAGAATTTATGTTGTAATCCAGCGCTTAAAATTCACAAACTTTCCACAAGTGGCTGATGTCTCACACAGCTGCTTGCAAGGGTGAAAACAATGGTGCAGGAGAAGAGATGGGATTCCCTCTGGTACTTCCTGGGGAGCTTCTGAGATCCCAGGAAAGCCGAGACGCCCGTGCTCCGGCCCGAGGAGAAGGGCAGGGGAGGAAGAAGTCTGCGGGTGTCGGCGATCCCTTCCCATGGGAAGGAGCATCTGCTGGGGGTGAGGAGCACGAAGACCCGGGCGGGGGACCCCGGGCAGGGCAGGGGAGCCCCGGGCCGGGCCGGGCCCGCCGCCACCGGGTGGCGTCCGGCACCAGGGCTGCGGCGGGACCGGGACCGCGGGGAGCTCCGCACATCGCTCCGCGCATCCCAGCGCATCCCAGCGCATCCCAGCGCATCCCCAGCTCCGAACACCCACCCGCGCCCGCTCCGCGGGGCTGTGACCGGCCCCTGACCGAGCCCCTGCAAGCGCTGTCGCCCTCCCCGTCCCCGGGGACGCTGCGCGGGTGCGGAGCCGGTGCCAGGTGCGGCGGGGCCCCCGCAGGACTACAGGTCCCGGCGTGCCCGGCCCCGCGGAGCCGGCGCCTGCGCGGGCTGCGGGGCCGCTCGGCGCTGCCACACCCCCGGGGAGGGAGGCAGGAGCGCCCGAGCCCTCAAACCACCGGCGGAGCCGGCGGGGCGGAGGATGGAGTAGCGGGGCGCGGCGGTGCGGGGAGCGCCGCCTCCGCCCGGGGGAGCGGGGAGGCAGGCGGGGATGATGCGCGGGGGGATAACGCGCTAGGGGCAGGAGGTGGGTGGTCGCCCGGAGACTCCGCACCTCGGAGTGACGTCCTGCTGCAGTGCCGCTGCCTGCGCTGCCCGAGCTCGTCAATGGAGCTGGAAAACATCGTTGCCAACACCGTTTTGCTGAAAGCCAGGGAAGGTGAGAGAGCGGCGGGAGGGGAGAGAGGGGGCCGGAGCATCCTTGTCGCAGTCGCCCCTCCGCGGAGCGGTGCCCGCGGGATGCGGGTGGGCGCCGGCGGGGATGTGCGCCGGTCCCGCCGGCGGCGGCTTTCGGGGTGCCATGTGTCTGTGCCGGTGTTAGAAACGGCTTGTTGGAGACAGAGTCACGGTGGAGAGGAAAATACCGCTTTTTCCCTGCGAGCGGGGGTTTGGGAAAGGAAGTGAATGAGATTGCAGAGATTACAATATTCACCCATCTCTTCCTTCCCCCTTCCCGCCCCCCCTCCTCAAATCTGGTCCCACAGATTGTGCTATTTCAGCGTCTATTGTTAAAGGTCAGCTGCAGATGCATTCATTCAAAAGGGCTTAGCAAATCTGCAAATAGCTTTCCGCGCCGTGTGGTGAGACCGGCAGGATCGTATCGCTTCCCCGTGCAGTCATTGCCTTATTCGGCGTTATTAGGTGAGATCATGTTGCTGCAAACATGCCCATTGTTGCGAGCGTGTTTGTCCCCAGCCGGGGCCGGGGAGAGGGGCTGGGGGGCTCGGCGGCTGCCCCTGTGAGCCGGGGGATGGCCGGGCGGGTGTCGTGCCCGGCGGCAGCCGCCGCGCTCGGGCAGCGGGATGGGATGGAGTGGGATGGGATGCTCCGGGCGATGCCGGAGCCGCCGCCGTTCGGCGCCCTGAAAACACACTCGGGTGCCGGCTGCGGGCTCCGCGAACATCCCCGTCCTGCCCCCGAGCACCCGCAGAGCCGATGCCCGGTGACAGCCGGCGGGTCGGGCTCACGGGGCTCTTTCCCCCCGAGTCGGGAGCGGACGCGGTCTCCTCTCCCCGCGCAGCCGGGTGTCTCCCCGCGGCTGCGGGGCGCTTGGCACGGCGGGGCCGGGGGCTCAGGGCTCGCCCCGGCTCCCCGCGGAACCCCCGTCCGCCTGCGAGCATCCCTCCGGCTGGAGGGGGAGCGCCACGCACAAGCAACACGTCCTACGGATGCGGCATCGCTGCCAAGACGCGATCGCTCTCTGCCTGTTCCAACCCCCTTTTGTGTTTGTATTTATTTACTTGCTTGCTCCTTAAAATAAGGCATTTTTCCAAGCCCTTGCTCAGGCTTTCTTCGCTGAAAGCGCTTGCTAGGCTGGGCGATGTGAGGTGCGGCACAACCTGCAGCCCGGTTCCCGCTGTCCTCCCAAGCGCTGGAGCTGCCTGCGAGCGTGGCTGGGCACGGCTTGCGTGGGCTTTGGGCTTCGGCGGCTCCTGAAGCTGTGGAAGCACGAGTAAGGCAGCATTCATTTCGTAAAAGAGATCGCTCAGATAGTCCTCCCCTGGAGGAGTGCTCCTTTTTGCTGGGAAAATAGTTCAAATTGTAAAATAATGTTTATATAACTCCCGGGCTGTTGAACTTGCGAGGCTTAGCTAAAGAGTAAAGTCCTGAGATCCTCCCAAAGAGGCTCTACAGATATTAAGGGCAAAGGTGTTATCCCATTCAGCAGATTGGTGAATTATAACTTTCTGACTTCTGACGGAGAATTTTCATCTTCTGTTGTAATTTTTAATATTGTTTAGGATGCAGTTGTTGCTACCAGCCATACAATGCTGGTTTAGATTTCAGTAGACTTCAGGCATACTTTAAAGGACTGGTATTCATTACTGATATTGTGTGTTGTTTACAGAGAGACAGTATTTTGCAAGTAATTTTAAATGTGCCACTCGGTTTTACAGTCTTTTTCTACCATCCTCAGGAAAATGGTTACAGTAATCTTGTCTTATTATGTTAAAGTCTTATTAAAGAAGCTGTTAGCTATAATCCAAAAGGCAGAAATTTATCAAGATTTACTCCAAACTACATTCCAACTGTTCTTTAAACCATGTATGAACCTCAAACAACATTTTTTGGAGGCCTGGTGCTAATTTTATTTTTAAAGTTGTTTTTTTGTTTTTTTGGTTTTTTTTAGCAGGGATGCAAAATTTGTTTAAATTTTGAAGAACAAAGGGCAAGTGCTGTACCTGACATCAGAGCCACAATACCTGCACCGAGTGTGTTGCCACATTTTTAGTTATTGTTGCCAGCTGCTGCGACTAAAGTGGTTTTAAAATTTGCAGGGAGTAACACAGGTGGTTGTCACTGCAGATGAAGAAGGCAGACGGGCATATGGAAGAGCAGGAGTAAAAGCAAGTTAATATATTGAGGATTATGGTGGTATCTAAAAATAAGTTTGTTCCAGGTCCTGCAGACTCCATCAATAGATTTAGCTGGGTGAACATGCAGTCAAAGCCAGGTATGTGCATGTGTGTTTCCACTTGTTAAGTCAAAAGTAAAAGCCCAGCTACTTGGTGGTTGGTGCTTAATGAAGGAAAATGATGGGATCTGCTCTGCAAATGTTAGTAAAAGCAGAAGTTTTGTCACAATTGCAAGGGGAACACAGCAAAAGGGAAATTTCAGGTTGGTTTCCAAAGGATATTCAGGTAGACCTGCAATGTGAAGTCCATCATTGTGGGCATTTACGAGGGAACCAGAAGGAGGGTTGAGTGACCACCACAAAAGTTTTATAGCAAATATTGGTTTAAATTTTGCAACTCCTTTGCTTTGGCCTTGGTAGCAACTTTTTTGTTTGTTTTTTTTTTTTTTCCTTTTTTTTCCCCTCCCCTGTGATCTCTTTTCTATGTTCCTTCACCCTGATGTAGAGTGAGCTTTTTTAGCTGAAATACCAGGAGGCAAGTTTTATAACTGTTATGCAAATACTTGCACTTGAATCTGATGATCACAATGAGAAGCACACCCAGAATTAACTGATGCCATGTCATACATGAGTAATCTTATTAGAGCAACAAAAAGAGTAAATGCAGTTCACATACAAAAAATGTACTTCGGTGAATAATTTTGAGCAGAGAATAAATTTGAGGAAATTTTAATATTTTTGCAGAATATGAGGCTTTTGACACAAAATTACAGATAAGTTACTGAGAAGTCTGCCAGTCTGAACATGCAAAAAATGGAGTTTTATTGCATTTGAAAGTTCATTCATTATTTATTAAGCTTAAATTTATGCTGTTTCCTTCAATTATAATTTCTCATTTCTTGAATGCAAAATCCCATTTCACAAATCGCTACTCTTTTTGGACTGACTAGAAAATACATCTGGTTTAATTATAGGAACCAAATAGGTGTTTGGGAACTCTCTAGTGTTGCCTGGGGAAAAGAATAAGCAGAGCAGGAAGACAAGAAAGATGAGAGTCATAAAAAGAAAATCAAAATAATAACAATTACAGTCATTTTGGGTTGAGTAAGAATCCCAAATTATGAGGTGGTGAAACATTTATCTGGATCTTCATAGAATCACAGAATGGGCAGGGACACCTTCCACCAGCACAGCTTGCTCCAAGCCCTGTCCAACCTGGCCTGGGACACTTCCAGGGATCCAGGAGCAGCCACAGCTTCTCTGGGCAACCTGTGCCAGGGCCTGCCCACCCTCACAGCCAAGATTTTCTTCCCAATATCCCCTCTAACCCTGCCCTCTGCCAATTTAAAGCCATTTCATTGGCCTTGCTTTTCATTAACCTTCTTGTTCCCGAGTGTCAGCAGCAGTGCCTGAGCCACAGAATCCTCTAACCAGGAATGATGGGGATACACCACCCTGCCAGCAGTGAATCCAGGCTGGGGAACGAGTCCCAGTTTCCCAATTTGTGGTTGATTGACAGAGGGCATCATCACAAACAAAGGACCAGGAGTGACCAAGAACTGAGTCTCCCAACACTTCAGAGGAACTCTAACAGCCCTAATCCAGAGCAGCTTTAAATCACCTCCACAGTCATGAATCTCCTCTTGTGTGTCAAAAACAATAAAAAGAAAGCCTTCCAAAGAGGCTGATAATTAAACTATAATGTTTGTTTGAAAAATAAACAATATGGTCAGAAAAGCCCCACCAAGGGCGTGGTGATTACCTGGATGCTCTTCCTCATGAGCCATTCCTCCCCTGGTACCTGCAGCTTCTGTGGGTGGGAGCTTTCTCAGACAACCTGAAACACAAATACAAAACACAAATACAAATACAAAACACAAATACAGCTTGGCTCTGAAATTGCAAACTCCTTTCCAAGTGTATGCAAACAGGCAATTGTCACCACTTTAAAGTTTTAGTAAGAACTGTGATGCTTAATTTAGTTACTACTTTTAAAGCAGCCAATTTGGAAGATAAACCATTGTTTTGCGCAGACTTGGGGTTTCTAAAGTTCAAAGTTTACCATGTAAAAGGAAAAAAAATCCTCCAACCAGTAAAACACAATGCAAATGTTTTTTTTTTCCCCTTTTGAGGTAGACTGGAATTCTAAAATAAGCTTATTTATGGCACCCAAGCAGAGCCTTTGATTGGCCTGGCCAAAAGGAGGGACCTTCTTTTATACTCCCAGAATTTTTTGAAGAGTACACACTGATGCCATATAACATGCAAAATGTGCCTGTTCATAAATTGCTGTATTTTTAGCTTGCTTTTCCAGGATGGTCAGAGGGGAGATTTGTGTGTGTCCTTATTGGCAAAAGGCTAGCAATAAATCCTAAACAAGAAGCCTGATTGCTTTCCAAGAACTTGGCTGCAGAGCAATTGGAAAAAAGGGCAGTAGAACAATGAAAAGCATATTTTGAAGGAAAGAAGGTGTCTGCAGTGACAGCCAAAACCCCATGGAGAATATGGTTATTGCAACTTCATTAACCAGTGCACTCAATGCAGAATCTAAGTCCTCTCCTGCCTCCCTTGACACAAAAACAAAGTGCTTTGTAAGGAAAACGTTGTCTCTGTAAGCTGAGGAAGTTTGCACGTGGTGTCTCAGTTCAGTTTTCTTTTTAGAGCTCAAGAAAAGCTCACCATTGTAATAGCTTTTAAAATGATTTCAAGAATGGGATCAGCCATTCCTTCAGATATGACACGCTGCTTTTAGGCAGTAGTTGAAAAAAATTAGATTCCTTTTCAAGCCTGTAACCATTTCTTTC